ATGTCCTCAGATTTTAATTCTACGGTGTCAGTAAATAACCGTACAAGATTCAAAGATTAAGACAATTATAAGTACAGACTGAATATTTCTTGTTAAATCTTCACAGATCATAAAAGATCCAAAAAAAGAAACATACACGGTACATAATGTAGATCTTGCCTATGATTATCTGATCGTGTATGATCTATCATGTTCTTTCATTTATTCGAGAATAGTTGATTCCATCAGCTTTTCGATGAAGAACAGTACCTGGAAAAAAGAATCGAGCAGTGTACCTCATCTTTTTTCTTCTTTTTCTAAACTAATAGTGTAAAAAACAATTATTTTTATTTCTTATCTTTCTATATTAATAGTATACAAAACGGTTACTTCTATTCCTTATTTTTCTATGGTGGTGAAATAGTAAATCCTGTTTATTTTTTATTTTTTTATATTGATAATATAGAAAATCTTAATTTTTACTTGTTAATTTTTTAATACAGATAACATAAATAACAGTTTGTTTGTTTTTCTTAGTTTTCTGCATTAATAATATAAAAATTCTAATTTTTATTTCTTGTTTTTCTACATTGGTAATATAGATAAGAGTTAGTTATATTTCTTTTTGTTCTATATTAATCATACAGAAAATCAGATTTTTTTTCTATTGATGATATAGAAACAGTAAGTGTTTGTCTTATTTGTCGATAAACAATAATATAGAAAATGCTAATTTTTACCTCTTAGTTTTCTACATTACTGATATGGCAAATCTTAAATTCTATTTTTTATTTTTCTATATTGATGATATAGAAACAGTTAGTTTTATGTCTTATTTGTCTACAGTAATAAAATAGAAAATGCTAATTTTAATTTCTTATTATTTTTGACATTGGTGATATCGAGAATCTTATTTATTAGTTTTCTAAATTGGTAATAAAGATAAAAGTTTATTTTATTCTCGATTTTTTGTATATTGTTGACATAGAAAAACTTATTTTTTATTTTTCTATATTGATAACATGGAAAATCCTAATTTGTATTTTTTTTAGTTTTCTATATTGGTAACATAGAAGACCATTTTTTTATTTTTCTATTATTATCAATATAAATAAGTAAGAATTAAAAAAATAAGATTTTCTATATTATTAATATAGAAAAATGATAGGTAAAAATGGAATTCTCTATATTGCCAAAGTAGAAAAAGAAGAAATAAAAATGGAAATTTCTGTACTACCAGTATAGAAAATTGAAAAATAATGAATAGGATTTTATATAATAATAATATCAAATATAGAAAAATAAAAAATAAAAATTAAGCTTTTCTATAGTATCACTATAGAAAAGTAAAAAATTAAAATTAAATTACCATTTCCTATGTTATCAGTTTAGGAAGATAAGGAATGAAAATTCATATTTTTTATATTACTAATATAGAAAAATAAGAAATGAAAGTGAAGATTTTCAATATAATCGAAAGAGAAAAGTACGAGAACAAATTAGGTGCACAGCTTAGTCCTGTTTTTTAACTACTCTTCTTCATAGTAAAACTAATCAAATTAACAATTGTCAAATAAGTTAAAGAACAGGAGAGATCATACACCATCAGGTAAGAACAGACAAGATCTACATAATGTAATGTCATATGCTTCTTTTTACATGAATCTTATCTGATCTAATAAGACCTGAGAAGAAACATTCAGCCTGTACTTATACGTTTCTTAATCTTTAAATCTTGTAAGATTTTTGATAACATATTATGGTCAAAATCTGAAGAAATCTTAAAAAAAGTGAACACATACGAAACTATATGCTCTTGTGACAAGCTCATAGAGAAAATCTTATAAGAATAAGATCTTTTCGAGTCTTGCATGGTCTGACGTCAGGTATTTAACCTAGGAATTTACGACTAACTTACGACCATATACCGTCGTATACCACGTTCGTACACGACAGTCATTTATTTTCAACGTACGACATCGTATACGATGACCGTTCCTTAGACGTATTTCTTTCTATACGACCATTTACGATCGTGCTTTGTCGACCAGGGAATCGATACACTCAGGACCATTTCATATTAGCTTACCATATTTTGCATGAACCATTATATAATGTCGAGATACCAAAAGCTATTGGCAATCTTGTTTGAGCCAGATTTCAATCTCGACATGATACCACTAAATCATAAATCTTTACTATTCAGTTTAATAATAACAATACTAATAAATTTATTCGAGAATGGTGTCACTATTGTACTCTCCGACTATGATTTAAGCACTGTTCTTATAACTATGTGCTCTATTGTGACATCTCCGATTTCATCAATGAATAATGTCTGAAGCAACGAATCTTCTTTTTCATAGTTCTAATGTATAAGGACAAGTCATGTTAATCTAACGATTCACTTTCCCTTTTTGAAAGAATGATCATGCGATCTTAAAAAATCCTGAATTAAGTCCTCGTAATATTGCTTTTATAGAATACTATGATCTACTGCGTATATCTAACAATATCTCTCATATTGGTATACGGATATGACTTATTTCTTTGTTTATCAGTATGTTGAACAATAAGTAGCAACGTTCTGATCAAAATTAACTTTCAATAATTCTTGAATAATTATCTAATACTTTTTATTTGGCTGAGGTGTGACTAGATCTTTCGTTTGAGATAACGATATTCACGGTAGAATTTTCTTCAGCGAGGACTTTAACAATAAATGTTGTTGTGATTATACCCGATGATGACTAATTAACAAGGTAAATGAAAAAAAACCTCCTTAGAAATAAAATTATGATTATTCTGAATCTATTTATAGACACTCGTATCAAACCGTTTTTTTCGCATTAATTTATAGTGTGTATAATAAAAAAAAAATTAAAACAAAATATACGAAGAAATAGATATTTACAGAAATGAATAGGATTATCTTCGCTATTTACCTTCGATTAAGTCTCAATACTAATCTCTCTTAAAAAGCATACACAATAATCATTTGCTCTTTTTCTTTTAAAATGGTCAAAACATTATTGCAAGTTGTTTTCTGTTTTTTTTTCCTCATTAATCAAATAAAATATTCTCAACAACAAACTAGACTTGTGAGTACACATATAGTAAGTAATATATTTTAGTTTATGAATTATTTTAAGTAAAAATATTAATTTAATAAAAGATTTATCGTCATGGAGATCGTTCTCCCACTTTTTCCTATCCAAAGAGTATTGCCGATGAATTTTTCTGGCCAAATGGCTTTGGACAACTGACACTTCGAGGACAAATTCAGCAAATACGATTAGGACAATATTTTCGAGAACGATATTCTAAATTACTCAATTCGACTTATGTCGCTTCTGAAGTCAGTCAAACAAAAATCAAAACTAATAAAACATCTTAAAAGAGTTTTTCATTATGAAAACATAGGTGATTATTCGGAGTACGGACTACGACAGAACTCTGATGTCAGCCTACTCAAATTTACTTGGACTCTATCCTACATCAAAGGAAAAATTAGATCACATGCTATCAGAACTAGAACAGGAGAACATATGGCCAAAAGTTCTACCATGGCAACCGATTCCCGTACATACTGTGCCTCAATCCATTGATTATGTACGTATTTCGACAGATAGATTTTTTCGATCAAAGCACAATATTCGAATAAACTGTCCGATTTTGGCAAATGAAAACAATTCTCTTGTAAAAAAAAATGAGAGCATAGGATTCTTAATTCTTTACTCTTTGTGATGAATTGAACAGAATTGATGTTTAATAGATCACACGAATATTTTATATATAATTGTCAATGACACACTAATATGTTTAAATTAGAGTGAACAACTTTCAGTGCACAAGTATGAAATGAGTCATTTTTGAATTATTCGTGTTTCTTGAGATAAAAAATTTTATTTCCTATTTGTTTAGTCTTGTTGTACCATTTTTCACAGTTGTGTATCAATTTGATTTGTATGAACAAATCGTAATCAGCTCTAATATTTTGTAGAATTGTATTACAGTCAGCAGTATCATAGTTTTTTTCGTCCTAAAATCACAATTGGCGACTTCAACCTAAACTCTCTTTAATCCGTTAAAGTGTAGATGATTATCATTTGACGGCAAAAAAGTTATTTATCAAAACAACAATGAAATGTGTTTGAAACATCTATTAGTTCGACTAAAAATTTTTAGTATAAAATAGTTTCGTTAATTAGAAACTTATATCAATTAACCTAGTTTGAAGATGTATTAAAGATTTCTTTGAAATATATTGTACTATTTCGTTGTAGACTATTTTACTAAAGTTTTCTTGACATATTTATAGTTGTTGAGAGTTTCGAAAAGAATCATATCTAATGCTTATAGTTTTTTCTCTTAATTATAAATATGATCTTCAAATAGAAAACAATTCAAATATTTGATGTTTAATATCTTATTCAAGTGCCAAAAATATTATTAGATGTTTAATATTGTTTTCGAAAATATTTAATTGTTTAAAATAAATTCAAATTTATCTATTCGATTTTTTTTTGTCATTACTATCGACTTGCAAAATAGCACTATTTCAAATGCAGCCGTTGACTATTTTATCAATCAAATAGTTATTTTATTTCTCCGAATATTTCGATAAATGTCAAACTTCACAAGTTGGAAGTATTACATGTATTTCACAAAAACATAGACAAAGCATTTCTGTCGCTAAGAATTCCACAAAATAATAACGTATGAAGGAAAAAAGAATGAGTAATCGAGTACTTGAACTTTAATTCAATGATTGAATTCAACTTTAAGTTTGACTTAATGCATGACTATGATGAAAATATCAGACACTAATCAATGTTTATCGTATTCAAAGATAATTCGGAGTCATTTATAAGGATTTGTTCATTGAATTGAAATAAAAAATTGTACAGAAAATATAATTGATACTTTATTTTTCATTTAATAAAAACTAATATCTATGATAACAAATAATCTGTCTTCTATTTGAATTAGTCATTTATAATATTTTTTATTTTAAGCTAATGGGTGTCAGTAAATGTCCATACTTTTTCGAACTTGTAGAAGAAATAAGAAATACAGAACAAATACAAAATATAAGTCAAGATTTTCGGGTATGATTAGATATATTTACTTCGATTAAAATAAAATATCGTTGCAGAAATTTTTTGATAAGCTTGAAATGTGGACAGGATCAAAAATAAATGATTTATTCGATGCATGGTTTATTGCCGATATAGTTCTAATTGAAGTATTGATAATAGATATTTATATGAGTTTTATTTTTTCTAAATATTATCTTATTATGATATCAAGGCTTTGTACAATAAAAGTTCATCTTGGGCAAATACTTTAGTACTTTCTCAACTTCAACAAATTGCTGATTTGTCTTTTTATCATCTTTTTAATTCATTTGAAACAAGTCGAATTATTGCAGGTCAATTATTTATTCTACGAAAAATACTATGTTTACAATCTTTTGAAATCATCTTTTTTAAGGTCCAATTATTAGCGATATTATGGAAAATATACGAAATATCATGTCAAATAAATCCAATAGATGGAAGGCAAAAATTTACTCAGGAGTTATTAAACTTTTTTTTTTTTTTTATTAAGACAATTTTTCATATGACTTACTTTATTTATAGCATGATGCAACAATTTTTGCAATATTATCTTATTTTCAAGCCAATTATATTCATCAACCGCCCTATTCTAGTACACTTTTCTTTGACTTATATCATATACCAGGTTAATATAGACATATAACTTTGTTTTTTGTTTTTTTTTTTGTCTTTTATTTAACCATAATCAGTTTAATTCACCACAGAAAATGATACATATTTCTTAAAAGTGGAATATTTGAACTCAACAAATAGTCGTACAACTTATCCAGTTAAATTATTCCGTAAGTATTCTTTATCGTATAATTTATTATTGAATAATTTGAATTAATCGGTTTTCAGCATGTTTCAATATAATGTGTTCTATAGAAATATTGAATAGATGGCTTGAAAATCGACTTCCAAGCAATGATATGGAAACGGAATGTATGTCTCGAATATTTCATCGATCATTGATTCAATCAAAATTTAATAAAAACTATCAATTACTTATTTGATTATTGATACTTTCTATCACTGATTATATTCTTTTTTTATCATTTATCTTTTGATATACAAACATGAATAAATTTATAATATTAATTATTAATAATAAAGAATTATAATCATTGTTTGATTATTTTTTCATTCATAGGATTCGACATAATTGCATCATTAACTCGATAAAACAAAAATATTCATATTTTGTTCAACAAATATATATATACGAAATCTAACGTATATTAGAAAGCAAAAAAAAATACAAACTAACTTAATTAAAATCTATTGAATATTTTAGCCAGACCAATTTATGAAGTTATTTATTGAAGTTTGACCGCAAACTTGGCTTGCACAGTTCATACAATCAACGGTCACCATTACAATATCAATGAACTCATCTATTTTAGCTTTCTATGTTGCCAGCTATAAATATAGTTACATTAAATTTCGAAAATACTCAAATCATTTTTTTAAATTAAATCTTGATTTATCATTACATTTTTTTCAAAATAATTCAAAGAAAAAAACAAAAGAATTAAGAGAAAGAAAATAAATCTGTTCTCAATAAATTACTCGAAAGTTTATCTATGATTTTTGGAAGAGATTTTTCATGATATGATGTGTATCAATCTTATTTATTTTTTTGTTAATTATCTTTGGCTTTGTTGCCTTGTTCTTGAGTCAAAATCATCGTTGATTATTTATATAAGAATTCATTTTGTGTACCTTCTTACTTTTATGTTATCAATTGTCTGTTTACTTTTATAATTAGTTTTCGACTGATTATTTTTCAAAATCTATTTGACATTTTGTCAGAGAAAAACTTCAACAATAATTATTTTCTTTAGACAAAAATAAACTGAAGTCTATAATAATTTAAATCCATTCCGTATCAAAGAAAAAGATAATGTATTATAAGAAACTTCCTTATTAGTGAATAATTAGTTACAGAACACGATTATTAGACAATTGTTGGAGTAATTCTTGATAACAGTATATGACCATCAACAAGTCTAGTTACTTCGATAAAAATATATTTTCTACTACCAATTAATTCGGAAGAAAAATATTACTGTTTCATTTCTCATAGGATATTATTCTGACAGATTTATCATTATTGATTAGGCTTCATAAAAATTTCCACCTCGAAATAGAAAATGTTTTAAGAAAAAAAAACGAATACCACAAATAAATGTTTATTAATTAGGATATTGATTTCATCGATATTTAATCTTTTCTTTAATTAAATGTTCCTTTAATTGTTTTTTCGAGATATATTACCTTGAACAATTATCTTTTAACAAATAACTATTCTCACAAAGGAATACCTAGATATTACATTAGAATCATTATTTTTACTCAGATTCATTGATGTACTAACTATGAGGTTTATTAAAAAAATTTCTTCGTTCAATATTGACAAAGCTGCTAGATTCAGAAATTGTTTTTCAAGCAGTTCCATCGAACATACATTTAAGATTTTCGAGATTCTCTTCTCTCACAGATAAGCCTCCCTTACAGAATTATGCTTCTCAGTACTTGGTGTTATTTTGTCAAAAACTATGTATTAATTCGACTCAATTTACTCTAGATAACTTAACTTTATTGAATATTCATTACTGAGACGTAACTATCACACATTTTTTTTTTACTTGAAATATTATTATTCATGTTGAAATACTATTGTTTCCATATAGACAACGGTTAAACAGTTGAAAAAATCTCTATGAAACGATTAAAAACTACGATTTCATTCACATTGTCATACTTCTATCATATGTAAGACGACTAACAAAAGCGAATGTGCGTCATAATATAGTTTATAAAATTGAGAACATTTCACTCTGTCAGAGTTGAGCTGTGACGCGACTTTTTTCATTGATTATTATAGGATTCTATAGTAGAAAACACACTATACAATCCAAATTTTCGTCTTATCCACCTATGAGCTACAATGAAATAAACGTATATATATATATATATATATATGCTCTTCGAATTTCCTAATACAATTTATATTAATTTTAGCTCTCATCGAACCGTTACTTATGTAGATAAAACAATGCATAAACAACACTATTTAAACTACTGATGAAGAACTTATGCCTTTTTATTTAAATCTGTTTTAGATTCTATCGATATTTATGAAGATTTACACTTTGTTCAAAACAACAACAACAACAACAATATTGAAACAATAAAGTAATTAAAGAGATGTTCGTATTTAGAACAGTCCTCTTGCTCTACAGATATCTTAAATGTTTTCAATAAGAAATATTCAACAAATCAAGAAAATAAATCATCTAATTCATCCAATTTATTTTTCTCTCATGCGTTCTAAACATATTTTAATTCTCTATGTTGGATACAATTATGTGCACTACGTTACGTAACAAGAGTTTACTGAAAAAAGATGATTCGTTAAAAGTTTTGCCAAATACTTGTTTATTTTCACCTGATAATAGGTGACCTTCTAGAAAGTATTATAGAAATATTTCTAATAAAAGAATCGAACTTTCTAATACATTGTATATCGAAATTATTTTAAATTTCCTATTACAGAAACTTTTAATAAGAATATGCAAATAAAATAGAAAGGACTAGATTAAAATTAAGTTGTTTCCATATAATTTTAACAGATAGGTTAAATTAAATTATTAATCTATATCAATTCTATTTTGATTGGTTATTTTATTTTATTTTGAAAACAAACGATCCCAGATCGAACTCACCCTGTCGGATCCGACACTATCCAATAGTTTTCGTCAATCGGAATCCGATCGAATCTAACAATCGGAAATCATCAACATCCTTTAATTTCCGACGATTTCCGCCGTTGGATTCTGTCGAATTCTGACAATAGTATCCGATAAAATCCGATAATGGGAACTTGTCGGATCCGATGAAATTCGATGCCATGAAAGTACCTGTAGATACTTTATTTCATTTATTATATTTTTATTGTTCTTTATTTTAGTTTATTTTATTTTCTTTCATTTTTCTTTTATTGTATATTTATTTTTTTATTTGCAGCTTCTATCACTTTAAGCATAGGGCCCTCATCCACACTTAATATTTTGTGATTACATAACACAGGTCAGTGCATAGATGTGATTAAAGTAAAGAATTTTATCTATGGTATTTTATTTTATTTAATTCTATTTTGTTTTAGATTATATTACGGAATGAAGTCTATCAACAGTGAATGGAAATTATTTATTTTATTTTATTTTGTTATAACCCAGGTCCACTGTTCCGATGGCCGAAACCGTTTGTTTCCTTTGTTTTCCGGCAGCGGATCCTATTAGATTCCGTTGGTTTTCGGTCGGCTCCGTTGACTTTCGACGATTTCTTGACTACAGGATTCCGGTCCAGTTTCCGCCGGAAAAATTCCGTTAAGTTCCGCAAAATTTCGAGCAGGAATTCGTCGGAAATCGACGGGACCATTGGAAACTGATCGGAACTGGTCCGACGAAATCTGGGCCGGAATCCTGTAGCCAAGAAATCGTCGGAATTCAACGGAACCGATCGGTTCCGACGTACCGAGCTTGACCTGGGTAAATTATTTTATTTTATTGTAATTTTTTTTTCATTTAATAAAAAGTTAAAATACACTAGATTTAAGCTGTTAATTTGCAGCTAATTGTAGATAAGGAGGAAAGTAAAGGAGGGCGGGGACAAACTATATCTAATGTTTAGATATAAATTCAACAGGCTTCCCTTGGATTCCGAGTGTATCCAACGTTTTTCAACTATAGGATCCGACTGTCGGAAATCGTCGGATCCAACATCCGACAACTTCCTATCGGAATCCTGTACCAAAGATTTCGACGATTTCGGATAGGATCCTATCGGAAGTTGTTGGATCCCTGTCGAAAAGCATAGGACTATTGGAGACTTTCTATCAGATCCGACAGGATTCGAACCTGGAATACTATTAAATAGAGTAAATAAACCTCTAGATTTCGATAAAGAAGATGAAGTTTAAATGAGATTGTTTGTACTGAGAAATTTCGAAAGTCTAACACCTACAAAAAATAAACCATTTAGTGTGTATATTAACTAGAGACAACGCTCACACTTTTTTCTTGGTGCTATAGGATGCAATCTCTTGAATTTTATGTTTATACAAACGCTGAACAGTAGCATCCCATATAATTTCAGTTAATACGTTTATATTAATTATATGTCATTATGTAATTTTATTCCATAACAAGAAATCGAAAGAGATATACAATGTGCACAAAAAAGCAATGATAAGCTGTATAAGTTTTGGAGCACATCTCATTAAAATTTTTTTAGACATTACAAGGGTGTGAGTGGGTGTGGGTGTGTCTGTGTATGTGTGAATATGTGTCAGTGAATATTTTATATTAACTCCACAGTCACAATAGTCACCTCCAAGCCACTCTCACGTTTCCACTATCTCAGTCGAAACAAAATATAAATTGAAATAAAATTTAACTGAAAAAGTGATAAAAACAATAGTCGAATTCTAATTGATAAAATAAAAAAGGTTACGTAAATATTTTTATCTGAAAACATGAATATTTTTCTTTCAATGAATCTACTTTATGAAAAAATGTACCTATTGAAATATAATATTTCCAAATATAAATTAAGGAGAAATAATAAAATAGTTAATGTAAAAAAAAAACAAGAATTTTTATTTAAAATAACGAATATAAATCTATATACAATTATTCTAATCTATCATCAATATGAAAGTTTTTAAATTATTCGAAAAAAAAAAATAAAATTTCAGTATCGATGGCACTTTCAATGAGAAAGAAAAATCAAAAATATGTTTCAAAACTGTCGCGTGAACTTTCCTCAAGATTTTCAATGCACTTTCATAGAGCTGCTATGTTGTTTTTTGTTTAATAAGTGAATGTGAAAAAAAAAAAAAAAAAAAAAAGAGAACGAAAATCAATAAAATAAACTAGGTAATGGAAGTATGAGAAAATGTTGTTTTGATCAATTTCTTTTTTGTCTGTTAATGGTATCTGTCTCTTTTTGCTAAAAGCTTTTTTCTTTTCATAATTGAAATTTGTTTTGTTACTCTTCCATTAACGAAATTCACTTTAAAGAAAAACACGAGACGTTTAAAAACAAGCAGTCACTTTTCACTTTCATATGAATTTTTCATTTTTGTTACGACAAACATTCATATAACAACGATCCAACAACATTGTCGAACAAAAATAATATCAATTAGTTTATATAAATTAATCTAGTATATCAAATGACAATATTATTTATATTTTAGATTAATAAACATTTTTTTAAAATACTATTTCTAATTTGTGTTTTAGCAATGAAAATCCAACTACAATATCAATTGTATGTTGTTGTATTACTGCTCTTGTAAGTCTCTATCAAGACTTTCTTTTCAATATCGATTTGTTTCTATTTTTTTTTAATTCAGAGTTTTTCCGGAGTCAATATATTGTACGTATTTCGATTTTTAATTACTTTTTCTCTCTTAAAACGACTACAAATATATGAAACGATTTTAATTATTATATTCTTAATAGAGCTATCATTCATCTACTTTTTCCTAACATTCAGGTCGAGCTAAGCTGAACGATATTGCTGACTTCTTAAATTCATTATAGTCTGTAGCTGTACAACGTAAAATTTTGTAAAAACTATCACTTTCCTTGTTCAACTCGGATGAAAATCAAAAAATAGACCAATATAAAAAAAAAAAAAACAATCGACGATGCAGTTTTTTTCAATACGATCATATAGACATTGTTTAGTAGAATAGAAAAATGATGCCAACGAAGAAGTAGACGACCTATTTAATAGGTACTATAGCGGAAAACTATCAAAAATAAGTTTTTTCTTTAGAAAATGTTTGTAATTTGTTGAGCTTTATGCACAAAAATGTATTTTATAACACACGTATCAATAGATTATCTTTTACGTTTACGGGTATCTCACTCGTGTTTTTCAAAGTTTAACTGCAACGTTCTTCACTTTATAAAGATTTACACTATAGCTATCTATCATTTTGGATAAAATATTACAGTTAGGTTTTCTTCGAATTTCAGAAATTTGTCAAAAACATCTTTCTATAATTTCTAAAGACTTGCCTTATAATTTTCTCTGTTTTCTATGATAAATCTAGATGTTTTCAATGTATCTAGAGTTTTTACCATACAATAGAGTTTAGAATCATTCCTTCGAATTTTTCAAATAACCGCATAACATGAGCTTGAATTTCTAATAAAATTCGATGATTATCGCATTGAGAAACTTCTGTAACTTACATAGAACTTGTTAAAAGTCTTAACTAATGTTGCCTACTAGAGCAAATAGTTTTGAGTTCGGTATAAATTTGTGAACTTGTCTAAAAGTTTGACTGATGTAAAAATCACTCGAAGGTGATAAAATATTTATATATTTCTTACTGCACAACATAGTTATAGTACGATGATCGAATTTTGGTTGCTTCAGAACACGAATGCGTTGAACAACACTTTCTTCTGAATTTCGAAAATATCTTTCTCCTGCTATGATTTCATTGTGCTGTAGCTGATCAAATGTATTCACGATAGTATTCATTGCGTATTTTCTCAAGATGAACAGAACTTCACTTAATTCTGCGTCGACATACAAATTTTTGAGATCTTCTAATGCAAATGCTACCACATGCAAGACTTGAGTTTTCTTTCCTACGTTTGACTATTGATTCGATGTTGAAAATGAGTTTACTGTTGAATAACTAAACTATGTTAACTCGAAAAAATTGTTGAGTTTTTTTTTCGTCAAATTTTTAACGATCTATTAATATTCATACATGTACATGTCTTATTCTTATCAAATAACTTTCAAAGTCTTTAATTTCGATTGTATCACTAATCTACACAATACTTGTGAGATTAAAATGTAAAATATGATATAGTTTTTATTCATAATCATGAAAAATATTGCTTTGTTCGATCTATCTTGAAAGCCATTTTTCATCCTCTTTTACTTATTCCTCTAGAACTTCAAGAAGGAAGTAGTTTATAGTATTCTTATGAGATATTAGTGATTTATGATCGTTAATCATGCATCAAGAACGTCTCTCACAGTATGTAACCGTCTCTGAAGCCCGTCGAAAAGATTCTAAAATGTCCCATATAATATACTTAAATAAATTTCTTAACGATAGAGTTATCATAAAAATATTGTATCGATTCAATTAGATCAATGTTGAATCGAGAATCATTGAATCAGCTCAATTTCTATCAAAAGAATTTTGTAAAATCTTCTCTTTAGGCAAACGATAAGATCTTTTTTTTCTAACTAGAACTGTTATGAATGTTATAAATGCAGTGCCTGAGCATTAGATACAGTTTTAACTGTCGGAAAGATGTTTTGATGCTGGAGGTTCCAAATCTACATTTTCTCTTCTTGTTAGCGCTCATGTTACATACAGCATCATACTATCTAATTAATACTTGTATTAATACCATTATTAAACAAACATTATAGAAATTGCTTTCTAATATTCTCTTTTAAATATTTCAATAAATTAACACTACATTCAACTCTTTTGATTTTTTTCTCTCCTTGTAGGCAATTAATATCTAAGAAGGAAACGTTCATTCTTTGGATAATGTATTAATTGCAATTAAAGATAATAAAGTCTACTAAGTTTCATGTCAAACTTGAAAATTCACTCTCACAAATTTGTGTAGGTCAACGAGAGTTAAATACTTACAAATTATCTAAGAAACACTCACTAAGTTTGATTAGAAATCAGTGAAAGAGAAAATACCTTCTTCTTTCAAAATTAATTCGTATTGCCAACCATTGAATATAAAAAGATTTATTTCAATTTAAATTGTTCTTCTTTAAAATTTGGATATACTTTTTTTTCCAAATTTTGCTTTGTTTCATGAGAACTTGTTTAACGGTTTGAGACAAAAAAAAAGAGAATTCTACATAACAAAGCGATCATTTTTTACTATCGTGTTGCAACATCAAGTTAAAGTTCGCCGAATTTATTTTGAATGACAACTTGATTAAGTTCAGGTTGGCCATTGGCAGCTATGTTCCATAGAAATTGTAAGATTTAGCCTAGTTGTTTTTATTCATATTCATTTTGATGATCATTTATTTCACGTAGTTTATCGAATGGATTTGGAATCCAGATCATAGAAAGTCTCTTGAAAATAATAATTACTGTTGTTCAATTAAATTCAATTCGAATTTTGTGACATGTTAGGCAAATAAATTATTTATAATTTTAGCCCAATCAACAGTAACATGTTTACCGGCCGCTTGGAATAATACCTTTCGAACATTAGCAGGTATATCAGGTCTAGCAGCAAGTACATCAACAACACTTTATAATCCATATGGTGTTGCATTTGATACAAGTGGTACAATGTATGTCGCTGATCAGAATAACAATCGCATTCAAAAATTTGTTGGTGGATCAGCAACAGCAACAACCGTTTCAGGTTTATCTTTATTGTATCCAAGTGATGTTCATGTTGACAATAATAATATTCTATATATATTGGATACTAATAATTTTCGAGTATTGCGTTGGAATAGTGGCACGGTGACAACAGTAGCTGGCGGTCATGGTAACGGTGCAGCATATAACCAAATATCTTACAGCTACGGAATGTTTCTTGATTCATTCTCTAATATATATGTATCAGATTGCAGCAATCATCGTGTTACGTTATGGACAGGCGGAAACACAGCTACGAGTCAATTGGTACTATGATTTTCATTTAATTAGTTGTGTTTTTAAATTTTTACTTATTGAAGGTTGCCGGCGGATATGGAGCTGCAAATACACCACAACAACTTAATTGTCCCGTTGGACTCTATGTTGATAATAGTGGAAGTATATATGTTACTGATTATAACAACCACCGTGTCCAACTATGGTATTCAGGTTCGTTAAAATTACTCGATATAATTAACAATATTTTGTTTATATTATTATTGTTATTATTAAATAGGTGCAGCTATAGGTGTCACAGTGGCTGGTCAGTCAGGTGTATCGGGTCCATGGTCATATCAATTAAGTAATCCATCATCGGTGATTTATGATCAACATAATTATCTTTATATTCTTGATTCTGGCAACAGTAGAATTCAACGTTGGATTCCTGGAGCAACCTATGGAGTAACTGTTGCAGCAACAACAATGTCTAGTCCACGAGGATTAACTTTTGATGGTAATGGAAATATGATTGTAGCTGATAATAGTAATCATCGAATTATTTCATTTGCTATGTATTGTCGTAAGTTTTTTATTAATATTCAAAAACGTTATTCTTCTTAACAAATTTTTATAAATAAATTTTATTGATTTCAGCACCGAATGCAACAACAACAACACTACCAACACGTAACGTCTCCTAATTATTTTATATTATTTGAGTATATGAATTCTTTCTTTATTTCAATAGCTCAAGTAACCATTCCGATGTGTCAACCAGCTGCTTGGAATCAAAGTTTTACAGTTTTAGCTGGATCATCAGGAAATGCTGGAACATCATCAACTTTACTTTACCACCCATATAGTTCATTTATTGATATATATGGAAATCTTTATGTTGTTGATAATTATAATGATAGAATTCAATATTTTCCAAGAGGTTAAAATAAATTAAGAATTTTAAAATAAATGATTTATTATTATTATTATTATGTTAAAATAGGTTCAACAACAGCAACAACAGTTGCAGGTGTAACATCAAATGGTGGTTCAAGTTATTCTCAATTAAATAATCCATCAAGCATTTATGTTGATGCAAATCAAATAATGTATATATTAGATACAAGTAATTGTCGGGTACTTCGATGGACTCCTGGAGATCCACTTGGTTTTCCTGTTGCCGGTGATCATGGTTGTGGAGCAGCATTAACGCAAATTGATACTAGTTATTCTATGTTTATTGATAATCAATATAATATTTATATATCAGAATATGCAAATCACAGAGTTACACTATGGTCACCAACTAATACATCAGCTGGAACTTTGGTATTTTATTTATTAACTATAAAAATTGTCGTATTGATTTGATTTGATTTTTATTTAAGATTGCAGGTGGTTATGGTTCTGGAAGTACACCAGAGAGACTATCTTACCCATGGGGAATCTATGTTGATTCAAATCAAGCAGTTTACGTGGTTGACAGGTCGAATCATAGAGTACAACTTTGGTATTCAGGTAAATTATAATTTCTTTTAGGTTATCTAAATAAATAAACTATTTCTAGGAGCACTATCAGGTATAACTGTAGCTGGCGCAACAGGTAGTGCTGGTCCATGGTCCTATCAATTCAGTAGTCCAACTGCCATTACTCTCGATCCATTTGGTTACATGTATATTTTGGATACTGGAAATTCACGAGTTCAAAAATGGCTACCAGGAGCAGCTTATGGAGCAACAGTTATATCAGGATCACTGAATACTCCATATGGATTAATATTTGATCTTCGTGGAAATATTGTTATTAGTGATACAGTCAACTATAGAATTCTATCTTATGCTATGACATGTCGTAAGTTCATTTTTAATTTAAAAAGAAATTTTTTAAATCTTTTCGATAAAGTTCTTTCATCTTTAAAAGAAATAATTCTTTATTTAAATTTTAGCTACTACTACAACAACAACAGCGTCACCACCAAGTTAGTCTTTAAAACATTGATTACAATATAGATTTGTTTCTTTTTTTATATTGAATAGCAACCACACAAGCTTCATTGTGTCCAACACCTCAATGGAATCAAACATTATCTGTATTAGCTGGTATAGCAGGAAGTGCAGGAACTTCAGCAACTTTATTAAATTATCCATACAATATAGATTTTGATGGATATCAAAATTTATATGTTGCTGATACAGCTAATCATAGAATTCAATATTATCCTCGTGGTATATTTCATATTTTATTTATGTTATGTATATGTATATCAATATTAAATTTTGCCTTTTTTTCTTTTTTTTAGGAACATCAATAGGTACCACTGTAGCTGGAAGTTCAGGTTCTTATGGTAGTACTTATGCTCAATTATATAATCCATATGCAATTTATGTTGATTCAAATCGAGTCATGTATATATTAGATACAACTAATTGTCGAGTTTTACGATGGCAATTTGGTGAACCACGTGGTTATCTTGTTGCTGGAGGAAATGGTAATGGTGGAGCATATAATCAAATCGGTACAAGTTATGGCATGTTTGTTGATAGTCAATCGAATATCTATGTATCTGAATCTACTAATCACAGAGTTACATTATGGTTAACAACAAATACAACATGGGGAATATTAGTAAATATTTATGTTTTAAGAATTCTATTTCGATTCATTTGTTATTTATTTTAAAGGTTGCTGGTGGAAACGGTGCTGGAAGTTCATCAGAAAGATTATACAATCCTTGGGGTATTTATGTTGATTCTAATCAAACGATGTACATTGTTGATAGAACTAACCATCGAGTACAACTATGGCTTAATGGTAAGTAATACATAAATTTGATTCTAATTAATAAATATCTAAATAGGAGCAATAAGTGGTACGACTGTTGCTGGTTCAACTGGTGATGCAGGTCCATGGTCTTATCAATTGAGCAGTCCAACATCAATATTGTTAGATCCATATGGTTATTTATATATACTGGATTTTGGAAATAATAGAATTCAAAAATGGTATCCAGGTGCAGCTTATGGAACAACAGTTATATCAGCATCCTTTTATAATCCATGTGGAATGCAATTTGATCTCTTCAATAACCTTGTGGTAGCTGATACTTATTATCATCGAGTTGTATCCTTTAGTGTTTATTGTGGTATGCTAGAATATACTATGTTATTTTTCTATTCATGACATCAATATTTAAATTTTAGCTACAACAACAACAACAACAACGCCATCTCCACCAAGTGAGTCGTGTATTTCTCTTTTCTTTTCTAAATATTTCATATTTATTTTGAATTGAAAAGCATCATCACCAACACCGATATGTGCAACAGCTCAATGGAATCAAACATTTTCAACATTGGCTGGTGTATCAGGAAGCAGAGGAACAACACCTACATTATTGTATAATCCATGTGATGCTGTTTTGGATGGATATCAAAACTTATATGTTGCTGATACAACTAATCATAGAATACAATATTTTCCTCGAGGTAAATTTCATATTACACTTAACTTATAGATCTGATTTTCCAAGTTTTTTCTCCTCTAGGAACAACAACAGGTATAACTATTGCTGGAAGTTCAGGTTCAGCTGGTAGTGCCTACGCTCAATTGAATAATCCACATGCAATTTATGTTGATTCAAATCGAGTCATGTATATATTAGATACAACTAATTATAGAGTTTTACGATGGCAATTTGGCGATCCATTTGGTTCTGTTGTGGCTGGTGGAAATGGAGCTGGTGCAGCATTGACTCAAATAACAACAAGTTATGCCATGTTTGTTGATAGTCAATCGAATATCTATGTATCTGAATATAGTAATCACAGAGTGACATTATGGTTAACAACAAATACAACATCAGGAATATTGGTACATCTTTGTAATTTATTAATTTTATTTTTATTTCTTATTTATATATAGGTTGCTGGTGGAAATGGTGCTGGAAGTACATCAGAAAGATTATACAATCCTTGGGGTATTTATGTTGATGTTAATGGAACAATGTATATATGTGATACAACAAATCATCGAGTGCAACTTTGGAAATCTGGTGAGTATGATCTATTTCATTATTTAAAATTAATAATTTAAAATATTCCAGGAGCAATAAGTGGTTCTACTGTTGCTGGTTCAACTGGTGATGCAGGTCCAAATGCATATCAATTAAATACTCCAACAGGCATAACTGTTGATCCATATGGTTATATATATGTATTAGATACTGCAAATTCTCGCGTTCAGAAATGGTATCCCGGTGCAAGTTATGGAACAACAGCAATAGCAACATCAATGAGTACTCCATATGGTTTGCATGCTGATAATCAAGGAAATCTTGTTATTACAGATACATATAACTATCGAATTCTATCTTTTGCTATGACATGTCGTAAGTTTTTATATAATTTAAATCTTTATAATGATTATATGAAAATTTTATTGAAAATTTGCTAAAGAAAAAATTATTTTTTTTTCTATGTTACTTTTAAGCTGGTACAACAACAACAACAGCGGCGCCAGTATGTAAGTTTGTTTATATTTGGAATAAGTCTTCAATTAATTCTAATATGAAATAGTTCAAGCAACTGTTCCAGTTTGTTCTACTGCTGTTTGGAATCAAACATTTTCTACACTAGTTGGATCAATGGGAACATATGGTTCAACAGCAACATTATTATATAGTCCATCAAGTATTGCTTTTGATGGATATGGATATATGTATATTGCTGATATAAATAATCATAGAATTCAACGATATCCACCAGGTTTAGACATAAAGTATTTCATATAAATCAGCTTATTTCAAATATTGATTTTTAAGGATCAAACGTTGGTACAACTGTAGCTGGTGTAACAAGTTCTTGGGGAAGTTCACGAGCACAACTCTACACTCCATATGGATTACACGTTACTACCAATAGAACAATGTTTATATTAGACACATCAAATTATAGAATTTTAAAATGGCAATTAGGAGATCCAATGGGTTATATTATTGCTGGTGGAAATGGTAATGGTGGAGGATTTAATCAAATTGGTGTGAGTTATGCAATGTTTGTTGATGGTCAATACAATATTTACATATCAGAATATAGTAATAATAGAATAACAAAATGGTCTATGTCTAATACAACTTATGGAACTTTGGTAATTTTAAGATTTCTTTCCATTTTGAATTTAATTTATCTTATAGGTTGCTGGTGGAAATGGTGCTGGTAATACAGCCGACAAAATAACAAGTCCATGGGGAATCTATGTTACTAATAATTCGACATATATTGTTGACCAAGGAAATCATAGAGTGCAAAAATGGAATTTCGGTAAAAAAATACACAGTTCGATTTATTTCATATGTAATAAAAAGTCTAATTTAGGTGCAAGTCTTGCTACAACAGTCGCTGGTTCAACAAGTGATCCCGGTCCATGGGCACATCAATTTGATACTCCAACATCAATTACCATTGATCCGTATGGCTATATATATATATTAGATTATAATAATGACAGAGTTCAAAAATGGTATCCAGGTGCTCCCTATGGTACAACAGTTGCATCAACAACCATGGCTTCACCATTGGCAATGCAATTTGATCCCTCTGGTAATCTTGTTATATCGGATACAAACTATCATCGTGTTATATCATTCAGCATGACATGTCGTAAGTTTTTCTTCTGATTAATATTCTTTATATTTCGAAACACTTAGTTGAGTAATGAAAGTTTCCGTTGCAGAACGAAAAATTGTTTTCACTTTTTTTAATTCTAGCTTCACCAACAACAACGACAACACTACCACCAAGTTAGTTATTTTCTTTTTATTTTTACTAAATAGAATAATATCGTATTTATTTTGACATGAATAGCTCAAGCAGCAACACCAGTGTGTCAAACAGCCATATGGAATCAAACATTTTCAACATTAGCTGGATCAATGAACACACTTGGATCAACATCAACATTACTTTATTATCCATACGACGTTAATTTTGATGGTTATGGCAATATGTATGTTGCTGATCATTATAATCATAGAATTCAGAAATTTCCTCCAGGTTTTTATGAAATATTGAAAAAGAAATATTATTCTATTTAAATGATTTAGGATCGAATACTGGTACAACAGTAGCTGGTTCATCAGGTTCAGCTGGAAGTTCACGCGCACAATTGCGTTATCCATCAGGAATTTTTGTTAGTCCAAATCAAGATATGTATATTTTAGACACAAGCAACTATAGAATTTTAAAATGGCAATTAGGAGAACCCATTGGTTATGTTGTTGCAGGTGGAAATGGTAATGGTGGTGCATTTACGCAAATTGGTCAGAGTTTTGGAATGTTTGTTGATCAAAATTATGATATTTATATATCTGAACAAGGAAATCATCGTGTTTCAAAGTGGTTTAATGGAAATACAACCGCCGGAGTTTTAGTAAATTTTTTTTTTGTTTTTCTGAAAAGATTAACTTTTAATATTGATTTATTTAATATTAGGTTGCTGGTGGAAATGGTGCTGGAAATACAGACGATAAACTGAATTTACCATGGGGAATTTACGTTGAAGTCAATGGAACTATGTTCATCGTTGATAGAGGAAATCATCGAGTGCAAAAATGGGAAGCAGGTAAACAGAAAAAAAAAGAAATTTCAAATAAAATCTATAAAATAATCGTCTAAAAGGTGCTAGTCTTGGTGCAACAGTAGCTGGTTCAACAAGTGATCCAGGTCCATGGTCATATCAATTTGATGATCCAACAGCCATTACATTAGATCAATATGGTTGTCTTTATATATTAGATTATAGTAATAATCGAGTTCAAAAATGGTATCCTGGTGCAAGTTATGGCATAACTGTTGCATCAGGATCAATGAATTTTCCAGTTGGAATGACATTTGATCGTCTTGGAAATCTGGTTGTAGCTGATTCAAGTTATCATAGAATGATTTCTTTTAATATTATGTGTCGTAAGTTTCCTTTTCTAATTTCATATTCTTCTTTTTTATACTCGACATTGAATTTGTATCTTTTCTTTAAACTTACACATAAAAGCACAACGGTTTTATAAATTTTAAAGAGAAGCGTCTAGTTTTAAGTTTTTATTCATATATTTAGCTCCAACAACAACAACAACAACAGCACCACCAAGTAAAATAATTTTTAATAAAAGGAAAAAAACTAAAGAAATCCTCTTTAAAACTCTTGCTAGTGTTAATAACAACTCCATTATGTTCTACAGCTTCGTGGAATCAAACATTTTCAATTATAGCAGGCTCAACATCAAGTGCTGGATCAACTTCAACATTATTATATTATCCAATTCATATTGATTACGACGGTTATGCAAATCTGTATGTTGTTGATCATCAAAATCACAGAATTCAAAGATTTCAACCAGGTTTTGTTTAAATTTGAAAAAATAACAGAAATTTTTTTATTTTCTTTAAAAATAATTTCAGGATCTCAGACTGGTACAACAGTAGCTGGTTCAACAGGTTCAGCTGGAAGTTCACGTGCACAATTGTATTATCCAACAGCAATGAGTGTAACTAAAAATGGAACAATGTTTATAATGGATACATCAAATTATCGAGTTTTAAGATGGCAAGTTGGTGATACATTAGGTTATGTTGTTGCTGGTGGAAATGGTAACGGTGGTGCATTTACTCAAATTACTACCAGTTATGGATTATTTGTTGACAATCAATATAATGTTTATGTGTCTGAAAATGCTAATCATCGAATTACCAAATGGTTATCTGCAAATCCTACTACTGGAGTTTTAGTAATTTATTATTTTGTCATATGAATTTTTAGCTCGTTGTTTTTGTTTTTGAAAATCTAGATTGCTGGTGGAAATGGTGCTGGAAATACAGCAGAAAAATTGAATTTACCATGGGGAATTTATCTTGATAGTACCGGTGGATTATATATTGTTGATCGTGGCAATCATCGTGTCCAATATTGGGCATATAGTAAAAGAGTTTAATTTATTGATAAAAGATTAATTAAATAATAATATTTGTTTTAGGAGCAAGCTTTGGTTTAACAGTAGCTGGTTCAACAAGTGATCCAGGTCCATGGTCATATCAATTTAATAATCCAACATCAATAACACAAGATATATATGGTTATATCTATATTATGGACTTCACAAATGAAAGAATTCAAAAATGGTTTCCAGGTGCACCATTTGGTGTTACTGTTGCAGCAACCAACATGTATTATCCGTATGGTATGACAATGGATCCATTTGGAAATCTGATTATAGCTGATACCTATTATCATCGCGTTATATCATTTGGTCTTACATGCCGTAAGTTTGTATTTATTTAAAAACAATTTAGTCGTCTTTTTCGTCCCAAAAGTTATATTTGATTTGTTTAATGATATGATTATTTGTTTTTTTAAGCGGCTCCAACATCGACTACATCGGCACCAGCAAGTCAGTTACAGTTTTTTGTTTTATAAAATAAAACATGAAAAAAAAATTTTATAATTTGTGATACTATAGCTCAAGCAATTGTTCCATTATGTCCAACAGCTACTTGGAATCAAACATCTACTACAATAGCTGGATCAATATCAGCAGCTGGATCAACATCAACTTTACTCTATTTTCCATATGATATAGATTTTGATGCCTATGGAAATATGTATGTTGTTGATTATTATAATCATAGAATTCAAAAATATCCATTCGGTAAATTTACATTTGTTTTCTATTAACATAATAGTGATTTTTTTGTTTCTTTTTGTTTTTAGGAGTATATATTGGCACAACAGTAGCTGGATTTTCACTTGGAAGTGGAGGTTCACGTTCAGAATTGTATTATCCAACATCAATAAGTGTATCGAAAAATGGAACAATGTTTATATTAGATAGAAGCAATTATAGAGTTTTAAGATGGCAAGTTGGTGATACATTAGGTTATATTGTTGCAGGTGGAAATGGTAATGGTGGTGCATTTACTCAAATTGGTATAAGTTATGGAATTTTTGCTGATGAACAATATAATATATATATATCTGAACAAACAAATCATCGTGTTACTTTATGGTTTAATGGAAATACAACTGTTGGAACTTTGGTAATCATTACTATTTTTGTTTTTCAAAACTTTTTTTTTTGTTATTTTCATTTATTTGAATAAAAGGTTGCTGGTGGAAATGGTCAAGGAAATACAGCAGAAAAACTAAATTCTCCATGGGGAGTTTATGTTGATTCAAATCAATCAATTTATGTTGTTGATAGAGGAAATCATCGAGTACAAAAATGGGGTGCAGGTAAAAGATGAAAACAATTAATATATTAAATGATAAAATAAATGATTTTCTAGGAGTCAATGGTGGTTTAACAGTAGCTGGTTCAACAAGTGATCCAGGTTCATGGTCATATCAATTCAATAATCCAACAGCAGTTACGTTAGATCAATATGGTTGTCTTTATATATTAGATTATAGTAATAATCGAATTCAAAAATGGTATCCTGATGCAAGTTATGGTACAACTGTTACATCAGGATCACTGAATTTACCAATTGGATTAAAATTTGATCATCTTGGCAATTTAATTGTAGCTGATACATCTTATCATCGTGTTGTTTCATATAGTGTAATGTGTCGTAAGTTAACAATTTTATTTTTGTTCCTTGAAAAAACGAATTTAGTGATATAGTAATTAAAGAAAACTAATTTTTTTTCTTTATTTAGCTGCAACAACAACAACAACAACGTTACCTCCACGTAAGTTCTATTTGAAGTATATTGAAAGAATAAATAATATATAATAAAAATAGCTCAAACTCGAGTTCCATTATGTGCAACAGCAATATGGAATTCATCATTTACAATGGTTGCTGGCTCAACATCAAGTCCCGGATCAACATCAACATTATTATCATCTCCATATGGTCTTACTTTTGATGGATATGGATATATGTATGTTATTGATTATGGTAATCATAGAATTCAAAGATTTCAACAAGGTTTTATTTCATATTTGAATTTTGTTAGATAAAAAACAAAAAATATCTTTTTAGGATCAAATATTGGATCTACAGTAGCTGGTTTAAATCCAGCATCTGGTAGTGGACGTTCAGAATTGTATTATCCATCAGCTTTATATGTTGATTCAAGTCAAACAATGTATGTATTAGATACTTATAATTATCGTGTTATGAAATGGCAAATTGGAGACACAATTGGTACAGTTATTGTTAATGGTCGAGGTTCTGGCTCAACATTTGATAAAATAGGAAGAAGTCATGGATTTTTTGTTGATACTAATTATAATATATATATATCTGAATTTGGAAATCATCGTGTTACATTATGGTATAATGGAAATAATACTGCTGGATTATTAGTAATTTAACTTATTCATTTATTATTTTATATATATATATATATTTTTTTTTTCTATTTGAATAAAAGGTTGCTGGTGGAAATGGTCAAGGAAGTACAGCAGAAAAACTAAATTCACCATGGGGAATTTATGTTGATAATACAAGTGGAATATATATTGTTGATCAAGGAAATCATCGTGTCCAATATTGGCCTTCAGGTACTTGAATTTAAAATAGTCTTTTTTTTTTGTCAAACTAATAAAAGAAAACTTCTTTATTTTAAAAGGTGCAAGTGTTGCAACAACTGTTGCTGGTACAACAGGTAGTGTTGGTCCATGGTCCTATCAATTTAGTAGTCCAACATCAATTATGCTTGATCCTTATGGTTATATTTATGTTTTGGATACTGGTAATGCACGAGTTCAAAAATGGTTTCCAGGAGATCCATATGGAATAACAATATTATCAGCAACAATGAGTAGTCCAATGGGAATGTCTCTTGATTTTTCAGGAAATTTATTTATAGCTGATACATCTTATCATAGAGTTCTATCGTTTCCTCTGTCATGTCGTAAGTTTTGTTTTCTTACTTTGAAATAGACTTCTATTTTGTATTAACATTGATATTAATTTTTGTGTAGCATCACCAACAACAACGACAACACAACCACCAAGTAATATATTTATTTCATAGAACTAAAAATCAATTTAATCACTTAATTTGTTTAGCAATATCCCAAAGTCAAATATGTTCAACAGGTATATGGAATCAAACATTTACAGTAACAGCTGGTATAACATCAAGTCTTGGTGCAACAACTACTTTACTCAATTATCCAGCAGATATTGGCTTTGATGGATTTTCTAATATGTATGTTGCTGATAGAGCAAATCATAGAATTCAATTATTTCGATCAGGTATATAAGATGTTTTACTTGATTGAAAAAATCTTTTTCTGTTTGTTTTTGTTTTGTTTTTCTTCTATAGGTCAAACTGTAGGAACAACTGTTGCTGGAACTACAGGTACAGCTGGTGGTACTTATGCACAATTAAGTAGTCCATATGGAATAACTGTGACACAAAATGGAACAATGTTCATAATGGATACAAATAATTATAGAGTGTTAAGATGGCAATTAGGAGATCCCATGGGTTATATTGTTGCTGGTGGAAATGGTGCAGGTGGTGCATTTACTCAAATTGGAACAAGCTATTGTTTATTTGTTGATAATCAATATAATGTTTACATATCAGAAAATTCAAATCATCGTGTTACTGTATGGTACAATCAAAATAAAACTGCTGGAGCTTTGGTAAGTTAAAGCTTTTCTTTATTTTCTCTATGAAGTTTTCTACAAAAAAAGGTTGCTGGTGGAAATGGTCTTGGAAGTTCTGCAGAAAGATTAAACTATCCATGGGGTCTTTATGTTGATTCAAATCAAACAGTTTATATTGCTGATGCGAGTAATCATCGAGTACAACGTTGGCTTTCAGGTAAATAAAAAAACAAAGAAACAAAGAAATTTAAAAAAAAATCATTATTTTTAAAGGATCAAGTACTGGTACTACTGTAGCCGGCACAACAAGTAGTGCAGGTTCATGGTCTTATCAATTGAATACTCCAACAGCGGTTACATTAGATCCATATGGTTTCATATATGTATTAGATTATGGAAATTCAAGAGTACAAAAATGGTTTCCTGGTGATAGTTATGGTAAAACTGTTATATCAGTTACAATGGGTAGTCCATTAGGAATGGAAATTGATCTTTCAGCTAATATTGTTATAGCTGATACAAACTCTCATAGAATATTATCATTTGCTTTACTATGTCGTAAGTTATTTGACTAACAGAAATTTTGCCAATACTGAAAGTACAGTGCACTCGAAGTTAAAATGTGTTGACTATGTTCCATTGTAAATTGTACTGTTGTGGGTTCTAGCAAGAAAATGTGTTGCACTTGAATGTGCCATATTTTTAACCGTTCTGTACATAGGTGACAATTATTCATTCAGCATTTTGTTCCGCATATATATATGTAATCGATGTAATCCATCACATAAAAATCATAAATTTCCATGCACCATTCTATATAATATATTTCTTGTAAATATTTCGAGCACAGGTGACCTCACTGTAAGAGCGATCTACTTGATAGTAGTCTACCCAAAATTTGACTGTTTTACAGTATTGCATCACACACTGATGTTAATTTTACTAATGAAATATTGATAGATATAATACATGAAAGAGAAAAAAATGAATATGGTGAAGCCTAGACTCCAATCATGGTTTCAGAATGTGTCATATGTGTTGTGGAATGTGTTACGAACCACGACACATTTTAAGTTAGAGTAAGGACATTCGCCAATTGACGAAAGTTCAGTAGATTTTTGTCAGCTATCACGAAAATACTACTCATACCGAATGCAATTAAGAACTGAAGTGTATATTGTCAGAACATATATACTATGGTTTATACTTCGGACATAGTCACATATAGGTGTGGCGATTTGAGTATGTGGTTGTGGTTCTTCTATTTATCTACGCCCACATACATATCCACCGACGTGAGTTGTTATAGGCCTTAATGAAATATTTATTATCTAAACTGACACAAAAAATCTATGACTATAAGAACATAACTTATTAATCTAGTCGATGAGAACTTTTTCATCTACGTCTAATTCATAGTTAAATTGGTGAAATTCCAATATTCCAGTTATTTCGGAATTTAAATGATTCTTTTCTTTTCTTTTAGCTGGAACAACAACAACAACGAGTCCACCTCCAAGTAATCAAAAATAAACATAAATTTGTTGTTTCAATCTAAATATAAAACTATTTCTAAATAGCTGTAACAACAATTCCTCTATGCTCAACAGCAACATGGAATTCAACATCTACATTAGCAGCTGGTTCAACGAATACGATTGGATCAACAGCAACATTACTTAATTATCCATATGACATTGCATTTGATGCTTATAATTATATGTATGTTGCAGATTGTAATAATCATAGAATTCAAAGATATCCTCCAGGTTTATATCATATTTCAATATTTTGAATGCACTGAATAAAAAAAAACTGATATATTTCTATTTCTATTAGGATCAAGTACAGGAGTAACAGTAGCTGGTTTATCAGGTTCATTAGGAGGTTCATTTTCTCAATTAAATTATCCAACAGCAATTAGTGTAACACAAAATGGAACAATGTATATAGTTGATTCATCAAATTATAGGGTTCTAAAATGGCAATTAGGTGAGCCACTTGGTTATATTGTTGCTGGTGGAAATGGTAATGGTGGTGCATTTACTCAAATTGGTGGAAGTTATGGTATATTTGTTGATGATCAATCTAATATATATATATCTGAGCAAACAAATCATCGTGTTACTAAATGGTTTAATGGAAATACAACTGTTGGAACTTTGGTAATTTTAAGATTTCTTTTGATTTTTTTATTATTTATTTAATTAATAGATTGCTGGTGGGAATGGTCAAGGAAGTACACCAGATAAATTAAATTATCCATGGGGAATTTATGTCGATAGTAATAGTAGTCTATATATTGCTGATAGAAGTAATCATCGAATCCAACGATGGGATTTAGGTATTTATACTATATTCTTATAATGATGAATCTAATATTAAATATCTAAAATGAATAGGTGCTGCTAATGGAATAACTGTTGCTGGTGATATGTATGCAAATGCTGGTTCATTAACATATCAATTGAGTAGTCCAACAGGAGTTATAGTCGATCAATACGGTTCTATTTATATATTGGACTACGGAAATTCACGCATCCAAAAATGGTATCTAGGTGCAACATTTGGAGTAACTGTTTTAACAGGAACATTTAATAATCCACTTCATATGAACATTAATGCATTTGGAAATTTATTTATAGCTGATACAAATTATCATCGCATTCAAACATTCAGTGTATACTGTCGTAAGTTTACGTATATTAATGAAAATCAATTACATATGATAATTAATGTATTTCAGCTTTAACAACAACAACAAATGTTCCACCGTCAGGTTGGATTTTGTTTCTGTTTTTGGTTTTATTCTAGATTTATTTAATTATTTAGCACAAACTTCAATACCATTATGTTCAACAGCTATGTGGAATTCTACAGCAACTATAATTGTTGGTGCAACAGGAACTTCAGGAAATTCTCCAACATTTCTTTCAAGTCCATACCATGTATCATTTGATCAATATCAACAAATGTATGTTGCTGATTATGGTAATCATAGAATTCAACAATATACATTCGGTATTTATTTCAAATAAATATAATTGAACACATTTATCTGAAATATTAATTTTTTTTATAGGATCAAATGTAGGACAAACAGTTGCTGGTATAACTTCATCTGCTGGAAGTACATTAGGTCAACTTAATAATCCATCTGCAGTTTATGTTGATGCAAATGACAATATGTATATATTAGATACATCAAATTATCGAATTCTTCAATGGCAAGTAGGAAATCAACTTGGGGCTATTGTTGTTAATGGTCGTGGTTCAGGTACAACATTAGATAAAATAGGAACTAGTTATGCTATGTTTATTTTTAATGAAACATATATTTATGTATCTGAATATGGAAATAATCGAGTTACAAAATGGACAATATCAAATAACAATCTTGGGCAATTGGTAATGTTCATTGTTTTATTTCTAATTATATATATATAACTTATTTTTTTATTGTGTTTTATGAATAAAAGATGGCAGGTGGAGCTGGTTCTGGTAGTACATCAGAAAAACTAAATGGTCCATGGGGAATTTATGTTGATAATAATGCAATATTATATGTTGCTGATCGATTGAATCATCGTATTCAAAAATGGGTTTTTGGTAAATAGTTTTCATATTATAATTAATAAGTAATTAATATTTTATTAAAGGATCACCATCTGGTGTGACAATAGCTGGACAAAGTGCAGTATCAGGTCCATGGTCATATCAATTTAATAATCCAACATCTCTTACATTTGATCAATATGGTTATATGTATGTATTAGATGCAGGAAACTCACGAGTCCAAAAATGGTCAATAGGTATGGCATATGGTGTCACAGTTGTATCAGGATCAATGTCAAATCCATCTGCAATGCAATGGGATTTTTCAAATAATATCTATGTTGCTGATACATCATCACATCGAATTGTATCATTCAATGTTTTATGTCGTAAGTTTATTTTAAGAAAAAAACATTGATAAATAATTAAAATTTCAATTGAATATCTAGCTGCAACAACACCAGCAACTTCAGCATTTCCAAGTATGTTAATATTTCTTTAACTAATACAAACATAAAAATATTGTTTTGTTTAGCATTATCACCGAATTTAGCATGTCAAACAGGTATTTATAATACAAGTTGGTCAATTGTAGCTGGAATTTCATCAACTTCTGGAACTTCATCTTCAAATTTAAATAGTCCCTATGATGTTTTTATTGATGGAAATTTTAATGTTTATATTGCTGATTATGGAAATAGTAGAATTCAAAAATTTCAATCAGGTTAATATAATAAAATATTTCTTTTCAAAAACATTTTAAAATAATTTATTTTTTTGTTTTTTAAATTTTGTTTCAATCAAATAGGTGTTTTATCTGGAAGTACATTAGCTGGTTATACATTAACTGGTGGTTCATCATATTCAGAATTAAATGGTCCAACATCAATATTTGTTGATTTAAATGGAGTAATGTATATAGCTGATTCGAATAATTACAGAGTTCAAAAATGGTTACCAAATCAACCATTAGGTTATACTGTTGCTGGTGGAAATGGAAACGGTGCTACACTTGATAAACTGGGTGTTGTTAATTCAATTTTCGTTAATGACCAAGGAAATATTTACATATCAGAATATAGTAATCATAGAGTTACTTTATGGTTGTCTTCTAATACAAGTGCTGGTCAATTGGTAAGAATATATTATCTTTCATTAATTTTATTTATTATTTATTCAGATTGCTGGTGTTGGTGTTCTTGGAAACTCGTTAATTCATTTGAATAATCCATGGGGCATTTTTGTTGATTCAAACGGTACTCTATATGTTGTTGATAGAGGCAATCACCGAGTGCAACAATGGATAAGAGGTTTGTTTCAAATAAGAAGTTTCTTGTCTTTGTTTTAAAAATAAAATTTATATATCGATTTAATACAAGGTTCTACTTTTGGTACGACTGTTGCTGGAACAACAGGTGTTTCTGGATCAAATTCATCTCTTTTAAATTCTCCTACGACAATTACTTTTGATTCAAATTATTTTATGTAAATTCTATGATGAGATATTATTTATAGAAACATTTTTCTCTTATACATATGTATATATATAATAGGTATATCATGGATGCAGGAAATAACAGAATACAAAGATTTGCACCTGGTTCTATAACCGCAGATACTATTGTTTCTATGGCTTTCAGTTCTCCGAAAGGTATGCGAATCGATCCAGTGGGTAATTTATTTATTGCTGATCAAAATAATCACCGAGTCGTTCTTTTTCGATGTGGTAAGTTAATGATTAAATATTAATCATTTGTGTTCTTAACATTGACTAAACATCTTTAATAGTCTACAATGCATCGACAACAACACTTACAACAGTAACTACTACATCAGCTACTACAACTTCAACAACAGCATCAACAACTACTAGCTCAACGACAACATCCAGGACTACTTCAACAACATCAACAACTACTTCTTCAACAACACAAACAAGTACTACATCAACAACATCAACAAGTACTTCTTCAACAACAGAAACAACCACAACAGGACCAACGACAACTTCAGTTACAACAACAACATCAGTTACTACTACGACAAGTACGTATGAATTTTATCTGAATCATTTTTATAAGTCATTCATTAATCATTCATTGTAAAAATCGATTTATCATTAATCTAACATTTTAATTTCTTTACTTTTAGCAACAGCGACCTCTACTACATCTACAACGGCAACCAGTACTACCACAACAACAATAACAACAACAACAACAACGACAGCTACGACTTTAACAACAAGTACAGTCATTTTAACTACAACAACAACTATAGCTGTACTTACAACTACAACAACAACTGCAGCAGTAGTCACAACTACCACTGGAGTCACAACGGTGACAACAACTGTCACTAGTACAACGATCGCTACTGTACCAGGAGCAACAACTACTACTGGACTTACCACAGCAGCAGCTAGTCAGTCTGCTAGTACTTCAGCTGCCAAATCCAAAGAGGTAGAGAACAAATTCATTATAAGAAATTTTCGATTCATAGAATTATTTGTTATTCTATTTGATATTTGTTATTTCTCTTCAGAGTTCATCAAATACAGGTATTATAGCTGGTTGTGCTGTTGGTGGTGTAGCTGCTCTTGGAGCTGCCATTGCTACTGGAGTTGCACTAGCTAAAAAATCAGCAGGGTATTTAAAAAAAATTTTCTTTTCAATCTTCCTTGTATTTGTTTGTTTTTAGAACTAGTGCTCTTACTAAGAATCAAATCAGTTCTACAAAAGGAAAGAATAGCTTTACGGTATGTTATTGAAGTTGTTAATATAGGAAAATTTTATAGAAATTCAACGTAAATATGTTTAATTATAGAAAGTGGAGAGAATTCCATCACCAAAACAACCGTCTGTTTCACAAAATAATAAAAATGCGCCGTCAAATGTTAAAACCGCTGAGAGTCCTCCTTCAAATCCAAAACTTAATAGTAATACTACTTCAAAACCTGGAACAGTTTCAAATGCGATGTCAAATAATACAGAGGGTACTCATGGCATACCACAACAACTCAATGTTCATCCTCGTTCCTATAATATTCATGTTATCAAATAAATGCTTTTTCTCTTTTCGCCATTCTAAATGAACACGTGTGTGTGTGTGTTTCTCACTTTCCAATCCAACTGCATTGTCCACTATTTTATTCAAACAATACATAGAAAATATTTTCTCTTTTGTTGATTTGAGGAGAATAGACAAGTTGTTTTATTGCTTAGATTCTACTTGACATCATCCTATCTCTATTGATAAAAGAGTAATGATGAAGAAAGAAACTAATAATTATCCTAATAATGATCAGAGCTCAGTGAATGAATATCAACACCATCCAACAAACCATTTATATTGAATATTTATAGAATTTGTATATCCAATCAAGAACGAAAACAAAAAATAAATGAAAATAAATTGCACGACTAGTCCAAAATATTCACGATATCGGTTAGATCTAGTCTGTAACGTGGAATCTCATTATGTCTAATCCATTTGTCCATCTAACCTGCCCAAACTACTTCGTAAGACAGCAAAATAATAAATGAAGAAGAGGAAAGATGAATTTGAACATAAAATCTGACATTATTCAACATCGGATAGGGATCGTGATGGTGAACCATGACGTCCAGATAGACTCATGACAGTTAATACAGTCTAAATCTCAAAGTCATTTTCTTCCATCTGCCAGAGCCTTAGATATCAGTTGAGACAAACCTATGTAATTCATACTGGAGAACAACCATCGGTTGTCCGTTCTATACAATGTGTGTCATGCCAACAATAAACTAGTGACCGTTTCATGTTTCACTGTTAGAATCAGAATATGAACCTACTGATTCGTAGTTCTATAATTCCAAGAATAAATATAAATTATCATACATACCAAATTAGTTTAGAACATTTTCTTGACACAAAAATTAGAAAACTATTTATTGAGAAAATTCCCTAAGCTAATACTCATTTCAAAAAAGAAAAAGTGTGAGTATTCTTTGAATAGGTTTTGATAGAAACTAGGTAGAGAAATGCGCCTTTCACCGTTTAAAAGAGGAGATGAAACTGCATCGAATAGTCTATATCAGAGTTTTCTGACAAGTTTTCTCAGAGTCTCTCGCCAATTTTTTCAAAAAATCTAGGCTTTTGAATAAGTTTATAAGATAGATTTTTTCGTTGAAAAATGAGAAAAAAAGATCAATTTTCTATGAAAACTCTGCCGATAACATGCAGTCAAATATGCATAACTCATGATTAGCCAAAACTTATAACATAGGACTTACAGATCTTACAGATCTTCAGTTAACGATGCTAGTGCACTCCTGAAAATTGAGATCGTAAAACTTTTACGTTAGACAATCTTTTGTGTTTAACAAACTTGATAGTGGGCTCTGAGAAAACTTGTTGAAGAAAAATTGGTATAGACAGTTCGATACAATTTCATCTCCTCTTTTAAACGATGAAAACCGCATCTCTCTACCTAGTTTCTATCAAAAGTTATTCAAAAAATACTCACACTTTTTTAGCGCAACACGACGAAGTGGTTACGTGTTCGTCACGTAATCACTAGTTACTGAGTTCAAACCTCAGTATCACCAGTCATGTAATGATCTTAGACAAGTCACTCATGCGTAATTGTCTCGGATCTCTCTAGCCGTTAATATAGCGAATAAAAATTCAATATATATGAGAACCCGACCACGACATCTCATTCTGGAGTCTCGTGCCGTTCGCCAGTCCAGATTAAAAGTGGAGCGTTGAACAGAAAGGAGTGTAGATGCCGCTGTTCAGGAAAAGAAAAAGACGATAGAAACCAACCATGAGCGAAGATAGTAGAAAACCATACCGACTTGGACGTCGCTCGGGTAAACAAGATTCGTGTCCTCTGTCGAATAACCGGCAGAGTCGACAAATGGGCTACTTGAAAACCAACAAGGATGAGTAGTGAGAGAACAAACACACTGACAGTTGAACGTGAAACGTTCAGACATTATGGACAACTGGAAAACTAAAGTTGCTAAGAACTGAGATGAAGAGGTTCAGGTATGATGTAATAGGTGTTTCAGAAGTACGCTGGACAGGCAAAGGCGAAACATCAAAGGGAGACTTCATCTGGTCAGGAGAAGACAACACACACATAAGAGGCGTAGGACTGCTGCTAAGTATGAAAGCTAGAAAGACACTCATAGGATGCAATCCGATCAGCTCACGAATGATCACAGCTAGATTCAACGCAACACCATTCCAAATCACAGTACTACATGCATACGCACCAACATCCGCATCCTCCGATGAGGATATCGAAGCGTTCTACAATACTCTCGAGGAAGCACTAACCAAAACTCACAAAAAAGACATAGTCATCATAACAGACGACCGGAATGCAAAAGTTGGTAGTGATAATACAGATTGAAGATGAGTAATGGGAAGATACGGATACAGCGACAGAAACGAAAAAGGAGAGCGTCTCCTAGAATTCGCAACTACACACAACATGTACATATGCAATACGAGATTCCAGCAGAAACCACAGCGAAAATGAACTTTGGCGTCACCAGACGACGTGTACAAAAATATGATTAACCTAATCCTCATCCAATAAAGATGGATATTATCGGTCATCAACTGTAGAACATTCCAAAGTGCTGACATCTGCTCAGACCACTCACTAGTACTGTGCAATATAAGGCTGCGACTCAAAAAGATATACAACACGGTGTACCAAAACGTAAGAACCAATGTGAGCCAACTAGAGAACGAGAGAATAAGGCAATGTTACAGTAACAAACTAGCAGAAAGTATAGAAAAAATTTGAGCGAGCAGATAATCTAGACGAGTGCGCGAAAACAGTAGAAGGTGCTATCAAAGAAGCAGCAGATGCAATAATACCTGCTAGAAAAAGTGTCAAGAAGTCTTGGATATCAGAAGAAACATTGAAACTAGCAGATGATAAACAAAAATTGGAACAGAATAAGGATGCTTTAAATCAGAAAGCACAACAATATAAAGACCTCTGCAAGCGAGTCAAGAAGGCAGTGAGGCAAGATAAAGACCACTGGATTCAGCAGCAGTGCGAACAAGTCGAAAAGAGTCTAGCAATTGGGAACACTAGGAAAGCATACAGTCTAATAAAAATCCTACGGAGAAAATTCACATCTCGAATAAATGTAATACAAGACCGAGACGGCAAAATACTACAGTCTCAGGGAGACATTACATAAGAATGGACGAAATACTGCAGCAGTCTATACAAAGATCACGGAGGAGGTGATAACATGGTGAGTGACCTCAAACACATCATACCTACGAACACCGAGGAGCCACAGGACATCCTGTACTCCGAAGTAGAAGGAGCAATACGCACACTGAAAAAAGAACAATAGTCCAGGATAACATGGGATCACAGCAGAAATGTTACAAGCGGGAGGAGAACAGTTAGCACGACAAATCCACAAACTATGCAACAAAGCATGGCAAGAAAGTACTATTCCAGAAGAATGGGGCAAATCTATCCTAGTACCAATACCAAAGACAGGTGATCAGCGCGAATGTGCGAACTACCGAACGATCTTCCTCATCAACCACACAAGAAAAGTACTGCTAATCGTGCTACTGCACAGGCTCAAGTAACAACTGGAGCCTCACCTCTCGGAAGAACAAGCAGGATTTAGAAAAGATAGAAGTACAATACACCAAATTCTGACACTCAGACTAATATCAGAGAAGGCAAAACGACAAGGAAAGAAAATATACAACTGCTTCATAGTCTTCCAAAAAGCATTTGACAGAATTAAACATAAAGTCATATGGGCGATGCTAAGGTCATACGGCATAGAAGAGAAGATGGTGGCTCTACTACAAAAAATATATGAAAAAGCCCAGTCAGCAGTACGAATAGGAAAAAACCATGGGAAGTGGTTCCGCACAGATGTTGGAACGCAACAAGGAGATCCTCTGTCATCGCTACTGTTCATCACATATCTCGAACGAATGATGGATCATATGAAACAAGGCAATTGTGGAATCAACATTACTGGAACATGAGTAAACAATCTGAGATTTGCAGATGACATCGACCTAATAGACGAAGACTGTAGTTTTCTACAGAAACAGCTTGAGATAGCTAGAATAGCCGCAGAACAATCAAGCCAAGTTGTGAACACAGCCAAAACAAAGACAATGGTGTTCGGTGAAAGAAACATAGGGCAAGCGGTACAAATAGCAGGGAAAACGATAGAAAATGTGGATAAGTTCAAGCATCTAGGAAGCCTAATAACATGGAACAACAACTGCTCAGAAGGAATCAGAAGAAGAATAGGCAAAGCAATTGGAGCAATGGCGTCCCAATACATATGGAATGGGAAGAAACTAACAATACAGAATAAACTCAAGATCCTAACAACATGTGTCTTCAGTGTACTACTATACGCCTCAGAAACATTGATCCTTAAGGAGAGCGACAAAAGAAAGCTACTCGCATTCGAAATGAGATGCTACCGAAGGATATTAAAAATCAGTTGGAAAGACATGAGAAGAAATGAAGCTATAAGAAAGAAGATACCGAAAGAAAAAATTATAGTAGACATAATAAAGAAAAGAAAATTCAGACTATTCGACCATATCTGTAGAATGGACGATAGCAGACTGATAAAACATATAATATTCGCAAAGATCGATGGAAAACATCGAAGAGGACGTCCATGTAGAGAATGGTTGGACGACATCAAAGACTTGTGTGGATGCAGTGGACAAGACCTGTTCCACCTGGCGCAAGACCGACAAATATGAAAGAAACTAATCCGTACAGTGGTTAGCTCCAATGGGCGATAAGCCTACGGGACATCATGAATCATGAACTCACACTTTTTCTTTTTTGAAATGGGTATTAATTTGCTGTATATGACAATTTGCCAGTGACGTATCCAGGATTTTTCAGTATGCTGAATCTTGACTTCCGAGCATGGAACCCAGATGAAACTCATGGAGGATGATGTTAGATCCAAATATTGGAATTTTATCAAAAAAAATTTGCACTCGAAGTTTTCGAAAAAAATAGCAACTTCCGGATCCCC